AGGATGCTTATGTCATCTGGAAGTGCTTTGATTGTACTACTTGTAAGATCAAGGTACCTAAGGTGGCACAGGTGCTTTGGTTTTATTGACATATGAACCCTTATTGGACTTGGCAGAGAAAGTGCTCGGAGAGAACTAAATTTTGATGAATGTAGCACATCATCATGGTAATAAGATCTATCAAATATCATTGTTTGTATAGGTGGAAACATTTCCCTTGTAGTACCTAATAAAAAGTTTAATTCCTTTTTCTTTGTGCTTGTTTGAAAAAGTATATGGCGAGCAGCACTAGGAAGCAACTCACCACTTTCAATAAATTCATTAGTTATTCAAACACACTCCTTTTCTAAAGCAGACAACGCAACATCATGCATGAGGTCATGGATCTTCACAAAAGTTGTAGAACTATACCCAATCCTTCTTTGCTCCTCATACTGGAATAATGACCTTGAAACCATCTCAATGACAATCCGTTTACCCATGTTTTCAGCAGGTACCTTGTTTTGATCTGAGATATAACCATTGGCCATCCATAGCTGGATAAGCTTGTCCACATCAATTTGATAATCCTTTGGATACATAGCACAAAAGGCAAAGCATTGCTTCATGTCAGTTGGCAAGTCATCATAGTTGAGCTTGAGTATAGGTAAAATTCCGGTCTCACCATCATCGCATATCCTGCTTCGATGTAATATGTCCTCCCATTCTTCCTTAGTGGTCTTGTTACACAATACAGACCCCAATGCTTTGGCTGCCAATGGAGATCCAACACACCTCTCTGCAATCGGGCCAATTAACTTAAGTAGCTCCTCCGGCTTAGTCTTGCGCGAACTAAAAGCTCTTGTTTCAATAATTTCATGTATGAACTCTGTGTCCAAAATTGCCACATCATGGTATCTATTTTTCCATGAGTTGTTAGCTACTGTACCCATGAATTCAGCTATTTCTTTATCATGAGTCGTCATCAATACGGCACTACCAACACCACCTTGTTTAAGACATGCCTTCAACTTTCCCCACTTGTCAACATCTTTATTCCATACATCATCCAATACCAGAAGATACCTATTAGGAACATATTTTTTCTGTTAGTACCTTTCTATATCAAGCAAAGAGTTTATGTTGCAAGGAATCATTCCAATCAGAGCGGCTGGTTCAAATAATATTGGTCATTTTGGTCAAAATTATTTCCTGATGTGACTGGAGGGAGTAGCAATTGTGTGGATACGTGATGCTCAACTTGAAGTCAGCTAGTGGATATTTGCATAAAAGTGTTGCTAAAACGGTCATTACAAATATTGGATTTGTGAGCTTTTGTGTTTAAGCTATATACTGCATATAGTCTACGAGAGAATCATAACGTGATCTGTTTTTTGGGAGATGGAGAATCATAATGCTCTAAGAGGACATGAAAAGTAGTGATATAGATTGCATACCTCAAGAACAAAAAAAATAATTAGAGCTAATGCCATGTTTGGATGTGGGTTGACCTATATAATTTTCTTGGTCAATAATTCAAGCTTCCATTTCAGAACCATTTTATACTTATATGGGATTGCATACTGGTAGAACACAGTAGTAAATATTTCTTACATGTGACCATGGCAAAAAACATGAGTGAGATAATTAGACCCGTTTTTGTGCTACTTCATTGTTACAACCCACACACAAACTTATGTTAGCAAAAAAATTTCATAGGGGCGCACAATACATGACAGGACGTACCGAGTGTTCAGCAAGAATAAATAAAACATAAAAGCATGATAGAAGGTGAGAGTTGAGTTAGCAATAATACCTCTTTCCCCTAAGATATTCCTGAAGCTTGTTGAGTGCCTTCTCAATCTTTGTCTCTGACTCATTATATATCTCGTTGGCAAGATTACAGACATTGAAATCATCTGAGACACACACCCACTTTAATAGCAGGAAATGCTCCTTGACCTGAGGGTCGTTGTAGATGAGATGAGCAAGGGTGGTCTTGCCCAGTCCTCCCATTCCAACGATGGGAACAACTAAGAGATCACCACCATTGCTAGCTTGATGATCGAGCAATATCTCAACAATTTTCTTCCTCTCCTTATCTCTAGATCTACTAACAATATTTTGAGGATCAACAATAACGGAATCCGTATCACGCCACTCCTTCCATGCTGGTGCGGTCTCAACCTCAAGCTTGTTGAATCCAAAGGTGTTCATTTCATCCACAAGGTCCTTGAAGGTGTCGACAATCCTGCGAAGCCTATAGGCCATCCTGATATGGAATGCAACACGGTTGTGGGTGTTAGGAGCGAATGAACTCAATACATTCCGGTGGGCTTCAGCCCAAACATGTACATGGGCATATATGCATAGAAGCCCTTACACAAAGAGGAAATAGCAAAGACACCTATACATCTATATCTAACACCCCCCTCAAACTCAGGGTGGATCACGAAAACTGAGTTTGGAGAGAAAGAAACGATGTTGAGCTCTTGTCTGTGCCTTTGTGAAGAAGTCAGCCAACTGAAGCTCCGAAGGCACATAGCGAAGAGTAATGACATCATCCTGCACTTGTGCCCGAGTGTAAGACGCATCAACACCGATATGCTTGGTGAGGTCATGCTTCACCGGATCACGAGCTATGCTGATAGCACCGGTACTGTCAGACAAGAGAGGAGTTGGCACATAAACTGAAACACCAAAATCCTCAATTAGCCATCGCAACCAAGTAACCTCTGCCATCGCAAGAGCCATAGCTCGCAACTCAGCCTCTGCACTCGAACGAGAAACCGCAGTCTGCTTCTTAGTCTTCCAAGCAATGAGAGAACCACCGAGAAAAACACAATAGGCTAAAAGAGAGCGACGATCAGAAGAGTCGCTAGCCCAAGTAGCATCGGAGTAGGCTTGGAGTTGAAAAGAGCTAGAGCATGGGAAGAACAGACGGCGAGTAATGGTCCCACGAAGGTAACGCAAGACACAAAGAAGATGACTATAGTGGAGGTGAGTGGGAGCGGAAACAAACTGACTAAGAATGTGCACAGCATATGAAATGTCAGGACGAGTCACACCTAAATAGACAAGACTCCCAACAATATGACGATATCGAGTGGGATCAGTGAGAGGTTCACCATCAGTTGTGCGAAGATGAAGATTAAGCTCTATGGGAGTCTCAACAGTGCGATGATCAGTGAGGGAAGAACGATCAAGAAGATCTTGAATGTACTTTTCTTGGGATAGATAAATGCCATCAGAGGTTGAAGAGTGCTCAATCCCAAGAAAGTAACGAAGAGGGCCACGATCGGACATGAGAAACTGCTCACTGAGACGTGCCTTCACAAATGCAATATACTCAGAATCATCACCAGTGATGAGCATATCATCAACATAAAGAAGAAGAAGAGTGCGGCCACGAGATGAATTATGAACAAACAAGGCAGGGTCATGAGCACTCGGAGAAAAACCAACAGCCGCGATCACAGAGGAAAAATGCTGAAACCAAGCGCGAGGAGCTTGTTTCAGTCCATAAAGAGAGTGACAAAGATGGCAAACGATGCCATCAGGAACAAGATACCTAGGAGGTGGTCGCATGTAGACCTCCTCATGGAGTTCACCATTAAGAAAGGCATTTTTTACATCGAGTTGAGAAATGGACCAGGCACGAACAGAGGCCACAACAAGGAGAGTGCGAATAGTGGTCATGTGAGCCACAGGAGCAAAGGTCTCATCATAGTCATGACCATGCTCCTGTTGAAAACCACGAGCAACAAGACGGGCCTTATAACGCTCGAGAGAGCCATCTGAGCGAGTCTTAATCTTATAAACCCACTTACACGTGATGGGACGAGCATGAGAAGGAAGAGGAACAAGATCCCAAGTGCCAGTGCGTTCTAGAGCAGCAATCTCCTCAGCCATGGCATGTTGCCATTCTAGATGACAAATGGCATCATGGTATGTGGCCGGCTCAGAAAGAACAGTGCCAGCAAAACCATACCAGTTTGTAGGCTTTAGCGACCCACGATCACGAAGATCATAACGAGAGGATGGCTGAGAGGAAATATCCGCAACCGAAGATGTCTCAACCGAAGGTGAAACATCAGGAGACGCCTCAATAGGAGGCGAGGGATTCTAGAGGCGACGACTGTAGGTGTGAATCACAGGGGGTTTGGAATCATAAATGGACCTAAAAGGAACATGTGAAGGCGACTAAGAAGGCAGCGAAGGAGAGGGTGCAAGAGGAGATGGTGGAGGAGGAAGAAACACAGTGGAGATAGGTGTATCAGGAAAGATCAAGAAGGAAAGAGTCTCAACAATGGTCTGGGGAGAAACATCAAAGGTAGGCCGAGGATAGAATGAGCGAGACTCATCAAAAGTAACGTCCCGAGAAATCCACATACGACGAGCAATAGGGTCCCAACAAGATATCCCTTGTGTTCAGCACTATAGCCTAGGAAAACACACTCAACAGATTGAGATGTTAGCTTAGTGCGTTCACGAGGAGCAAGAAGGACATAGCAAAGACACCCAAAAAGGCGAAGACTGGAGTAATCTGGTGGCTTGCCACAGAGGCGCTCATATGGGATTCCACCTTGAAGAGCAGATGAAGGCTGAATATTAGTTAAATAAGTGGCAGTGGATATCGCATCAGCCCAAAAATGAGGTGGAATAGAGGAAGCAATCATAAGAGCACGAGCAGTTTCAAGAAGATGGCGATGTTTACGCTCAGCAACACCATTCTGAGCGTGCGCACCAGGACAAGAAAACTAAGAAAGAGTGCCCTAGTCAGAAAGAAATTGGCGAAAAGCGCCCGAGAGATACTCCCCAGCAGAGTTAGCACGAAAAACATGAATAGGAGTGTCAAATTGAGTACGAATCATTTGAGCAAATATCTTATATATGGATAACACCTCATTACGATGTTTCATGAAATACAACCATGTGAAGCGAGAGAAATCATCGATAAATATGACATAACATTGATGACCCCCTTTTTTGGTTTGGTTCTCTTTGCACTCTGAACTAGGATGGCTTCAAGTTCAGATCCTCAACCGGTTGTTGGTCTGCTTTCTCAGTCTAATGGGGGTCAGATTCCACAATGTCCAGTAATTTTCAATGGCACTAATTATCGTGTTTGGGTTTCTCGCATGCGTTGGCATATGCGTGGTCTACGGCATTGGGATTTTCTCACTAGTGAACTACCGTGTCCACCTTTACCCACTCCTCCTGTGCAACCAGTCTTTCCTCTTGCAACTTCAGACGATGATAAGAAGAAATTGCATGATGAATATAATGATGATATGGCCTCATACATGTCTCAGTTTGCAGCATATCGGACTTGGTTGGATGAGGATGCTCGTGCAGGTGCTGTTCTAACTGCTAGCATGGAGGAACATTTGACTGCCAATATTGTAGAGCTTGACTATGCTTCTCAGATGTGGGCTTTTCTTCACCAGCGTTATGAGCCCTCTGGTCAGTCCACATGCATTGCTGCTTTACGCCAAGAGCAGTTGTTGCAACAGGGTGATGCTACAATTGAGGAGTTCTTTAACCAGCTCTCTAGTGTGTGGCGTGAGCTTGACACTCTGAGTCCTCAGCTGCCCCTGCCACTTGTGAGTCCTGCAGGAAGCAACAGAGCCACCTTGAGCTTTGGCACATCTATGATTTTCTGACTTGTCTTTGTGTTGAGTTTGAGCCTCTTCGTGCCTAGTTACTAGCTTGTGAACCCTGTGTGTCCCTGATGGATGCTCTTGCTGCTGTTCGAAATGAAGAGATCCGTCTTCGTTCTACTAGCTTGCTGCAGTCAGCTGCCTCGTCAGTGCTAGCTATTCGCTCTGCACCTCCATCCATGACAACTTCTGGACGTCCTACACCCCTCCCTACAGCACCTTCGTCAGCGGTGTCCTCCTCTAGGAGTGGTAGTACTGGTGGACTTCACTACAACTACTATGAAAAAGATGGATAGGTTGAAGATTATTGTTATAAGAAGAAGAAGAAGGAGAAGGCTCATTCGCGCCGAGGTGGTCGTTCCTCACAGGGTTCTGATCATTCTACTGTTGGACCCTCTTCGAGTAGCTTGGCTGGTTCTGAGACACAGGAGATACTTATGTTGCTTCATCGGCTAGCTCCCTCTGTGCCTGCTGGAGCTGCTGGTTCTGTCACCCCAGTCTCTGCACCTTTGGTTTTTGCTACTGCCTCACAGTCTTCCAGTGGGGAACCACCATTCACTTTGTCATGGATTCTTGATTCTGGTGCTTCTTTTCATATGACCTCTGATTGTACCAGTCTTTCTTCCATTCGTCCTCCTTCTACTCCTATCACTGTTCAGACCGCCGATAGCTCACCTCTTCCTGTTCTTGGACATGACACTCTTTTGTCCTCCTCTTTTCATGTTCCTACTGTTTCATATGTCCAGGAGCGAATGAACTCAATACATTCTGGTGGGCTTCAGCCCAAACATGTACATGGGCATATATGCATAGAAGCCCTTACACAAAGAGGAAATAGCAAAGACACCTATACATCTATATCTAACAGTGGGTAGGGAAGAGTTTTACTCCAGCCATAATGCCAAGCTTGGCGATGTGCCCATTCTTCTTGGCTCGACGGCAGAGCGCCTCGTACTCAAAGTCATCAAAGACCTCGTTCGCCTCATATGCCGCCGCCTTGAGCTCCTCGAGCCATTTCTTCACTCCTCCTCGACGAGATGCCTGCTTCTCAGCGTCGGTAATGACGTCAAGGATGGCAGACAGCCAGTGCATGAGGGTCTTGTGGTGCTTCTCCATGCCCTCCATCACATTGTACTGATCCAGGAGAGAGCTGGACACCTTCTCCTGCACTAGGGACACCAGTGGGCTGACCACCAGGCTGGCCGCTAGTTCAGCCGTTGGAGCACTCAGCAGAGCTCTGGATCGAGAACGTGTGCTCAGAGGGAGAGGAGAGCGCACAATGGCGTGCAGAGTGGAGAAGACAGAAGAGAATGGTTGCTTTGGAGGAAAACAGAGTGGGGCTGGGCATCGACTTCCTAGCTTTGCCCGTTAGCACAGCAGGGCATCTTTGGTTGCTGCATTCTATCTAATAACGCATAGTACTAACTAATATGGTACCATTACGGCTGGAGATCAAATCGAATGTGTAAACGTGATTAGAATGCTTGTCATTCATATCTTGTACAGGTGTACATATAGCCAGGGTGGCATGCAGCCAACCACACAGGCAAGATTACAAGCACAATCAATCAAGGGCAGCCTACCATAAATACATCAGCCTACTATAATTACAGGCACAATCAATCAAGGGCAACCTACCATAAATACATCAGCCTACTATAATTACATTGTGCTAACACTCCCCCGCAGTCGAAATGGGAGCACAACGAACGTTCAGGCGAGATCGAAACTCCTAAAACACAGAGGTTGGGAGACCCTTGGTGAAGACGTTGGCATACTGAGATGTCGTTGGGACATGAAGAACCCAAACTTGGCCAAGGGCGACTCGCTCCTGAACAAAATGGAGATCAATCTCAACATGCTTCGTGCGCTGATGCTGGACTGGGTTGGTGGAGAGGTAGACAACACTAATGTTATCACAATAGACCAACGTGGCTCGACGAGGTGGGTGGCGAAGCTCCATGAGTAACTGACGTAGCCAAGAAGCTTCAGCGACACCATTTGCCACAACGCGATACTCGGCCTCTGCACTTGACCGAGAGACTGTGTGTTGACGCTTGGAGGACCAGGACACCAGATTATCCCCGAGGAACACTACATAGCCAGAGGTCGATCGGCGAGTGTCGGGGAAGTCGGCCCAGTCAGCATCAATATAGACAACAAGCTCAGCAGGTGATGAGGGGCGTAGAGTCAAGCCAAGTGACAGAGTGCCCTGTAAGTAGTGTAAGATCCGTTTGAGAGCAGCAAGGTGTGGCTCTCGAGGATCATGCATATAGAGACAGATCTGCTGGACGGCATAGGCAATGTCTGGACGAGTGAATGTCAGATACTGGAGAGCACCAACTGAAGGGACCATGACGCCTAAGAGGGGGGTGAATTAGGCAACTTAAAATTCTAACTCTAAACTATGGCCTCTTTTTCTAATCCTAGCAAACCTATGCAAAAGATAAACTTTCTAAATGTGCAACTACGGTTTTGCTAATGTGTTGCTATCTCTACCACAAAAGGAGTAATGTGATCAATGTAAATATGGAAGCTAAAGAGCAAGGTAGAGATATGCAAACTCCCATCGACGACTCCGGTATTTTTACCGAGGTATCAAGAAGCACGCAAGCTTCCCCCTAGTCCTCGTTGGAGCCCCTCGCAAGGGCCAAGCTCCCGGTTGGGTAACTCCGTGGATAGCCTCGGGGCCCCACGCGCAAGTGGGTCTCCGACGTGCCTTCCGACAAGCCTCTCCCGGATGCTCCCCGCCGTCTTCACTATCAAGCTTCCGGTCGAAACGTCGTGGGCCTTGTTTCCTCCGGTACACGGTGGCGGCCACACCACAAACACGGTTGGTGTGATCTCGTAAGACTTCAAGCCCCTCCAATGTACAACAATGGTGCTCGCAAGCACCGAGTGATAAGAGGTATGCAAACCTCACTAAACACTAGGCCTAAACCTAGAGCAAGCGCATAAGCGGTGGTCTAATCAACCTAAGCACTTCGCAAAGCACCTACGCTAATCACCTAATGAAACACTAAGCACTATGCAAGTGGAGATCACTAATATGGTGTATCAACACCCTTGATATGTTTTCTCAGCTCCACACCCCTCATTTGGCCAGTTGAGGGTTGTATTTATAAGCCCCACTAAGAAAGTAGCCGTTGGGGACGAAATCCCGCTTTTCTGCTACTGATCGGATGCAAACTCCCTACCGTTGGAGCCGTGAACAACTGATCGGACGCTGCCAGTGTCCGGTCACTTGCCACCGGACGCGTCCGATCGCAAGTTCGCCGCTCTAGAACCTCTCTGTACTCGATCGGACGCTACTATCCTACGTTCGGTCGGTTTGCCGCCAGTGTCCGGTCCAGCGTCCGGTCGCTGCTGCTGTTGCCGAGCCTCTAATCGGAGCGTCCGGTTGCTTTTTGTCAGCGTCCGGTCGCTGCTGTGAGCTCATTTCTTCGCTATCTTGCGTGCAGCTTGGTTTCTATCTTCATGCTTGGACTTTGCTTGATATCTTGGGTCTTCTCTTGTGCTCCTAAGGTCTTGCTTGAGGTGTTGATCATCGGATCATCACGTCGCCTTTATCCAAGTCACGTCTTGCATCCTATTGAACTACAGAACCAATCACTTGCAAATTCATTAGTCCAATTTGGTTGCATTGGTCATCAAGCACCAAAATCCAAAGTAAATGGGACTAGGGTCCGTTTTTCTTACAATCTCCCCCTTTTTGGTGATTGATGACAACACGACCAATTTTGAAATTTAAAAACTACCTACTTGCTAGGATGCAATGCAAGGGGCAAGATTATATGATGCTAAAAGATACTACTTGTAAGACTATATAAAAACTTATCTTACCCTTACAAATGTCCCCATGTGGTATTATGGATTTAAGCCTTGCTTCCTACAAATTCTCCCCATTCCATAATCCATTATCCTCCCTTTCTCGGACTATTACTACAAATTAATGCTTGCTTTTGGTCCTCTAAATTCTTCCTCTTTGGAATTAAACACCAAAAAGGAAGACATTAGTAGCACAAGGGAGGGTCAAACCTTGTGATCTTTTGTGGGTAGAGTGAAATAGATCACAAAATTTGACTCTCACATTATATAGACTAAGCTCCCCCTAAATCTATGCATACATATGATAGAAGGCAAAGTATATGCACAATTAGCAAGTTATTGCTCAAGGGAATTTAATCTACATAATGCATGGAGAAAGCATATAAATATCAAAATGAAATCAATATGATGATAGTGGTTTAGAAATACCACATGTGGAAACCAAATTGATTTCTACCACTTGCAATTGGTGGTGGATATTTGAAGAATGATGCTTAACTCTGGGGACTCCATTTTTCTTGCAATGAGACTACTATACACATGATAAGCTTGAAAAGATGTTAGTCTCAAAGCATCCAAATTGTAGAGTAATCCTCCCCCTAAATGTGTGCACACAAGTGTGGAATACTTGTAGAAAACATGCACATTGATTTTAGAATCAAAAATACTACTTGAAAGATGACATCACATGAATGTGAGGGTCATTTTCGAAGGTGATATTCGGGAGAAATTATCTATAATTTGGACTTTGGCACATATTAGATGAACAATTGAAGGACAAGCTATGTGCCGTGCTCCTAATTTTAAACCATGTAGGTTTGCTCCAAGGGTTAAGAATGAAACCGAGAAAGCCTACCATATGATATACCTAGTGTATGCATGACAAAAGATATAAGAATTCAAATGCAAACCTAGGCATGAAGAGTAACTAGATGCTAAAAGATGCCAATTGTAGAAAAATTTAAATCTAATACCAATTGAAGTAAATTGAATCTAGTTACCTAACATGGGAAGGCGAATTTGGGTCCATAGTATTCACTAACCCACTTGGCAATGTCTTTGTCCATCATGATGCACCCCATGAAATGCATCCATACTTTACCAAGTCTCCAAATTCCCCAAAGTCCATTGGACTTCTCACTTCCCTTTCGGGATCCAAACCTTCTTGGTGCTCTTCATGTTGGAAATTATTTCTTTTGGCACCCAAAAACGTTTGACCCCATTGTTGGCTTGCTTGTTCACCTTGATGGCCACCACCTTGTCATTTTTCTTCTTCTTCAAGAGATAAGGTGTGGAGGCCTTCTTGTTGACCTTGTTGGTGTAGGTGTTGGAGAGCTTGCTTGTTTGCTTCTTCTCTTTCTTCTTTGCTCCTCCCCCATGCTTCACCTTTCACTCATAGGACTTGTGACCTTCCTTGTGGCACACGTAGCAAACCACGGTTTGTCCTTCATCAAGCTTCTTCACTCCCTTGACGGTGTTATCTTGATGAAGTTGGGTTTGCTTCGTCTTGCCTTTCACTTGAGTCAAGTCCTTGGTGAGCCGAGCTACTTCTTGCTTGAGTTGCTCATTCTCCTTTGCAACCTCTTGTGTGCATGTATCTGCAACAACTTTCTCAACACAAACTTGGTTGCACAAAGGTGAGTCTAAACATAAATCATTACAAGAAGTAGAGGCATCATTTTTAGACATGTTAAAGATATAACTTTTCTTTTTAGATGCCTTGGTGGGGGTTGTACTAACGGCTTCAAGATTAGCAACTTTATTAGTTAGCTCATCACAATGTTTGCACATGGTTTCCATTTTTGCAAGCAAACTTTTATAAGCATCTTGTGAGCTAGCTAACTTTTCTTTTAGTTTTTCATTTTTCTTTACAAGTTGTTCATCATTGATTGTGCATTCATTTGTTGTTGCACTAGCCTTAAGTTGCTCAATTTTAGTAGATAGTTCAACATTGAGATTAGCAAAGTTCTCATATTGTTCAAGCAAAGTTTTGTATGCTTCTTGTGAACTATCTAGCTTTTCTTTTAAACTTTTGAGCTTCTTTTATTGACTAGTGCAAACTTTAGCATATTTAAGATTTTATTGCACAATTTTATCATAAGAAAACAAATCATCATCACTATCACTCTCACTAGAGGATGAGCTTTCGTTACCTTGTGCCATAAGGCACACACGTGAAGAGCTTGATGATGAGTGCTTGCGGCCTCGCCTCTTGTGATGGTGTTCTTCTTCACTTGAAGAATCATTCCATGATCTTATTGAGGTGAGAGCTTGGTTCTTACATGCCTTCTTCTTTG